GTTTTTTAGATATGCTAACAGCATCCAGGTACCGAAACTGAACAATCAAACAAAACATATCATTGTATGAATTATTTTAACATAGTAATATATTTATCTAATAATATCTTATCTTCAATTAATAATCTAATCCTGTCATGTCACTATTGCCAATGCATACATTTCGATATCGATATATCAACGATATTTTGTGCTGCCCTAATGTGGATATAAAAGTAATGTGATTTAGTTTTAATAGAACGTCTGACAGCATTAATCGACAGACCAGTGGACCAAACATGTTGTAAATCTTCTGAATATTTTTTGTCATTCTAAAATCCTTTAGCTAAAGTTCATCATCAAAGTGGTTCAGTATAATTACCTGTGTTGAGTGGCTGTGCTCCCAAAGAGCATCTCATACCTCCAATCGCCATCGCATGTTAATTCAATTTTGTCTTCAGAGGAGTCATTATTTACAGTATAAAATAAAGTACAGTATACACACTGTAAAAAATGCTGGGTTCCACGCAATCGATTTGTATTGGGATGACATGAAGTAATTAAGTTACCTTATTAGTAACATAATTAGATTGTCCCCCTCCAAAATATCAAGAATTGTGTCGTTTCAGTTAATTTAAAATAAGTAGTTTATGTAAATAAGATGAACAGCATACATAATTTTTTAAATGTACAGTATAAGAAAAAAGGCCCAGAGTGGCTTTTGCAACTGCAGAAAATAAAATTTTTCTTCTTGATATTGTAACGTGGAGTCTAAGGGTGCTTTCACACCTGTGAATCGATTCAGTTGTTTCGAAACAGAGATTACAATTGTTACATTGTTGCTCTTTGCTCTTGGAGCGGTTCGCTTTCACACTGCAAAGTTTCTAGACGGACCAAAAGAGCTAAAACAAGTCACGTGCGAGTAAACTGTCCTTACATTGGTCAGAGTGTCAGGGTTTATTTTGCAGCGTCCTGCTAAGCTGTCAGGAGAGGTGGTGGTTTGGTGGTGATTGACAAGGTACGCGCGCACGACTTGTCTGAGGAGAGATGCGGTGGGGAGGGGTGAGAAGGGTGCGCGACGATGTCTATTTGAGGACCGGGAGGGAGACGCAAGATTACCGGGAGATCATCACTCATTTCCGGGTATCCGGAGACTCGCGAAACTTCCCGCCCTACTCATAATTCTCTCTTCATATAGCCGTAAGCCTATTACATACTCATAAAACACTTTGATATAACCGCGCTCGGATCGCTTTCTCACTGCAATCGAACCGTTCCAGGGTTTGTTTCAATTGAGCCGAGACCACCTCATTCAAGCGATCTTGGAGCGATTACTTTGGCGCGGAACAGAGCGCGATTGCCCTGTTCACATATGCCAAACAAACCGCGCTAACTGGGCAAACGAGATACGTTCCGAAACAAAAGTGTAGGTCTGAAAGCACCCTAACAGAGAGGGATCCATTTGCAGTATGTTTATTAAACTGTTAAATAATAAACACACTATACACTGGTGCATGAACTCACATGAATCACAGGCTTGAAAGGTCGATAGGTAGGCAGCTGGCATTCGTATATCAGGTTAGCAGGCATGGGTCAGAAGCAGGCAGCGAGAATCAAGATCGGTAATACAGGCAGATATTCAAGGCAGGCGACAGGCAAGGTCAAGGACAGTCCGGGTTGGCGACAGAAGATCAGGCAAGGATAAGTAATGCTTAGTAAAGCAGGGCAGAACAAGACTTAGCAATGAAATGAGAGCGAGAGCTGCTTTTATGTGTGTGTGTGAGCTGGGGTAACAAGTGTCAGGTGCAGCGTAATCAGCTGGCCGAAAGGGTTTGTGGGTGATGTAGTGTTTAATAGTCCGGTGATGAAGACCTCTGCTGGCCAGTGAGGGGAATGACTGGGACCGAGTCGGTGACAGATATCAGGTGCCAGTTTACCAGAAGGTGACAATTTAGTTCTTTTTGACTCATTGACCGGTACATTGGTAAATGTTTTATGCAAAATAATAAAATATTTATGTCTAACTTGCATCTCTGAATGAAAACATAGCTAGTGATTTAACATTATTTTTCTCTTGTTTTCTATCAGGTATTCATTCTAAATGCAGTTTATACATAAAGACAGTACATCTCTTCAGTGATGAACAGGTTTTACTTATTTTCAGTGGGAATAAAGTTGTATATGTCATGGTGATCCATCTGTCCTGAATTTGAAAGTTTTGAAACGTTTTGAAAGTTTTGATAGTTACTTGGCATAACATTGTATTATTATTAATGAGACTAAAGTATTTGTATTTTTTATCACCAAGATTCATTAAGTTTAATAAAAAAAACCCTGTAATATTTTTTTCCCCATTTATTAGAATTAAAAATAACTGTTTCATATCGTAAAACATTTTATAAAGGTCTTTATTCTTGTGATGGCAAAGCTTAATGTTCAGCATCCTTTTAGAAATTATTCTTCAAAAATCATTAATAATAAGCTCATTTGAATTGATTACAATTTGGATAATGTGCTAATTTGAATGAGTTTGTATAATATGCTAATTTGAATAATATGCTAATTTGGTTTTGCCTAAGAAACATTTTGAAAGCAATTGTGTAGCTTAATATTTCATTGTAAACATTTTTTTTCTGGCTTTTTGGTTGAGAGAAAAGAAAAATGATTTACAATTTAAATCTTCATTAACATTTTACGGTACAGGTCACTTTTGATATGCTACATTGTTGAAGAAAATGTATAATGTCTTTATGTGACCACAGAATATAACATTTAATGTCATGTCAAAATTTGAGATATTGTTATTTCTCTCTTTTTAAAATGGAGATACTGTCATTTCTCTCTCTGAGGTTAACGAGAAAATACAGAACAGATAATTTGACATTTTATTGACAATAAAACATTAATGTAAAATGTCATTTAAAACAACAACAATAATAGTAATAATAGACTGGCATTGTGCCAAAGAGTTTGTTGATTTGGTAAAAAAAAATCAAAGTTGGCCATAGTTGTGTCTATCTCTGCAAAATCTGGCACAACCTCTTGTCCAGCATGATCTGAAGATGATCTGTGTCGATTCCTCTGAAAATCAGTCTAGTGGTCTGACAGCAGTTTTTAAAACATCTAAATCTGGTAACTCTGAGAGTTCTGAGAATTATGACATTAAATATGTTCTAAATACAAAATTTTAAAATAAGTTTTAAAATGTATATTTTATTCATTATAATTTTTTGAAAACAAGATATGACTGTCCTGAAAGTTTTTGAGTTCAGTCAGACACATACTAAATTTTGTATATAATTAAAAATCGAAATAGGAAGTGGTCAAGGTCCAAAAGGCAGATGTTGGGAAGGTGGTTATTTTGAATGCTGTACATACAGATGGTAAGGATAATTTTATTATTATTATTTTTTTTATCACAGAACAAAGCCATCATACAGAGCTAGCAGCCACTATATACAAGACAGGGTTTGCATTAAAGAAAAATACATAAGAATGCATAAGAAATTAAATAAATAACAAAAGACAGGGAACAAAAAAAAATCTGTGGTGAGAAGTGACCTTTATACACATCTAATATTTTATTATTTAGCATCCATTACACTTTAGTGTATCTAGTTATTATATAATAAACTTTCTTAATGAAATCTTAATGAATTGAGACCAATTATAGAGGGGGGGGGGGTTGTGTCAATGACACATTGACCCTTTAAAACTGGTAGAACCAAAAATGTGCATGTAAAGAAAGGAGGTCATGTTTGTCATAAAACAACACACTTTTTGTCTGAGCATGAGCCAGAATTAATTATTGGTGACATCATGTGGTGCATTCTTCTTGGGCCAAAGACTCAAAGAGGGGAAATTGGCTTTGGCTTAGTAGAAAAAACAGTCCTGTGATTCCTGTCTAATCAACTCGCACATGAAACCTAAATCACATCATAGGGTACTTTCACACTACCACACCCAGGTTCATTTGACGTCAGAGTATGGTATGTTTAGCTAATGTGAACATATCTTCTAAACTCAAGTGCACACCCATGAACCATACCCGTGTCTACCTGAAAGAGGTGATCTGGTGTACAATTTGTTCAATCTCTAGTACGGTTAACTTCTGATATGAATGCAATTGTACCATATAACAAAAATGAACCGCCAACTGTACAACAAAAATTAATTTCATAACGTTCATTCCTGTGTGCATGTATGTGTATCACCTACCTTGGTTAAAACGACTTTTGCAGACACTGCGTGATGACAATTTCTAATGTTTTTTTTTTTGTTTCTTGTTTTTTTTTTTTGCAGCAGCAGCAGATAGATGCAAGTGGCTCTCTGTATTTTGGTTTTGGTATCAAAACCAAAAGATTCAGTAACAGCAGAATGACCATGATATGTGTATGTCTCTATTTTGGTGCTTTCCTTTCGTGACTGTCACCTAGCTACAGATGTACACAAAATAACAGCTTGATGACGCAAGCGTATAGGGGTTCAGAAGGAAAAAAAGACAACACAACACAAAATGGCCGAATGGCTTGAATCAAGTGTGAAAGCACCAATACTGAACTACCTCAAGACATGGGCACTTTATAAATGTAGCAAATTGTTTGGAAGCATTAAAAATGTCCTGGAAGATGTCCAAAATCTTTACACGCAATGATCAAGAGTGTTTAGACTGCATGTCACTGATGAGAACATGAAGAATGTGTACTGTATAATGACTGAAATCTCCAAATGAACTTAAACAATAACTAAATGCACTACAGAATGTTACGTTTTCACACACTCATGCACAAATTACATCAGCGGTTCATAGCGTAGTACTCACTACTCTTGAGTACTTTTATAAAGGATACTTTTTATTCATACAATGTATTTACAACAGATACTATTTACTCTATTAGCTCTACTTTTTTGGTAATGTAATGTTACTTTTACTTGAGTATGATTTTTCAGGACTCTTTCCACCACTGTTGTTATGTATGTATGTTTTGGGTTTGAATATCGTTTTTATTTCTTTCTTATAGGTTCTGGTCTGAATGATGGTGAATGGCATGATGTCCGCTTCCTGGCCAAAGAGAACTTTGCCATGCTGACCATTGATGGGGATGAAGCATCAGCTGTGAGAACCAACTCTCCGGTCCTGATCACCACTGGGAGCACGTACCACTTTGGAGGCAAGTTCAGAAATGCACAGAGACCGAAAGTGAGAATGCCAAAGCACCATTAGAATAGCTCTTCAGATCTTCTCACTCTCCCTGGTGCATTGGATGCTGACGTTGATTTGCAAAGGCCTTTGAATTCATTTCTGCTGAGAGACCAGCTCTAGAACTGGCTCCACTGTGCACGCACAAAGACACCCCTTTAAGGAAATCAGGTTGGGCATTAATGCTGATATGCTTTTATGTTTTATCTCCTTTAATTGGAAAACAAAAGGAAATTAACAAAAGGGATGGTCTGCTTAAAAGGGAAAATAAATAAATAAAAGTGGCTGCCCAGATTAGTGTGGACGTCCTCCATTGTCTTTTAACTCTCATGAGGGCCGATGTGTCAAGGCGAAATGTCAGTACAGTTTTGATGTAAGAATGAATAAAACATTCATCACACGTATTACTTATTTAAAATTCACTTAAAGCCGTAGCTGCGTCTTCTAGGAAAAACATTGGGCCTCGCAATTCAACTGGGATAAAAGCCGAATGCTGCCCAAAGCTTTCTAAGCCTGATGGGAAAGCAAACAAAAATAGTGCTGGGCATATCTCTGCTTTTAAAAGAAGATAGTCTGGAAGTAAAGAACTGGTGTAGTTGTTGAAAGCAATCAGTTCATGTGATTTCATTCTGTCTTAAGATGTCAGCTTAAGGCAAGACTCTACTGGTGAATAAGATATCATTATACTTTCCCCATTTGATTAATCACAGTACATTAAAGGGGCAGTTCACCTAAAAAAGGAAAATTTGCTTTTAATTTACTCACCCTCAGGTCATCCAGGATGTAGGTGACTTTTTTTTTTTTTCTACAGTAGTACGTTCAAGAAGATTCTTATCTCAAAGCATGGTCTTTGGAGATGAATAAAATGCAAATCAATGGCTTTTGGCACTTCTGTCGAAGAAAAAAGAACATACACAATCATTACAGCATACAACTCTTTTTTTTTTCCCAAGCAGACATATTTATATAACTGAAAGAGATTAATCCATATTTCAGCTGCTAAATTTATTCAGTCAAGAGTTTGTGATTTTCTCTTTTTTATTTTAGTTTACGTATGCACAAATAGCAGCTAGTATACTGTCATGCTGTCACTTTACGACCTAATACAGTAATACAATACATTGATAAACATTCAGTATTCATCCAATGGTTTATGTTTATTTAAAACATAAGCAACTGTGTTTACGTGAATACTCAGCAAAACTGATATTATGGCACATACAGTGCTCAGCATATATAAGTAGACCCCCTCACAAATCTCTCTTTTAAGTTCATATTTTACTAGGAAGCTACAGTATACAATATTATTATATTTGTGCATATACATTAGATTAGTCAGTACTGAAGCCAAATCTGGAGCTTATCTTGCAAAATAACTTACGATAACGGTTCAAAAACTAGTACATCCAAATGTATATGTTATAGAAAAATATTAAATACAAATTTTTAAAAAGTGCATTATTTCGCTTGAATTTAATTGCATTATCTTTCAATTTCTCAATATGTTTGATGTTTAAAATATTATTTTAATAAAGATATCTGTTTAATAAATCTGTTTTGTTTAAATGCACCAAAATACATTGCCTTTATTCACTGAGAAATAGATAAACATATTTTCCAAATGGGGTGTTCTCAATTATGCTGAGCACTGTATATTTTGTTTATTTGTGTGTATCAGTCATGATAATTTGTTTTCTGAAGGATCAGATAAGGGTGTTGTAAATAGGGGTGTGTGCGACTGATTATAGGGCGTACATAGAAGTGTTTGGGCAGCCTGGACGAGGATTTTTAAGGAGAATGCAGATATGGCAATAAGCAATCAGTGAGCATCTATAAGGCTGGTTTGTTTAGTATGGTCAAAGGCATCTCATTTATCTCACGACAGAGTGAGTTTTCTCAAATGATCATGTAGAATAAGTGTCAGCCAACACTCTGATTGGCTGTTCAGCTATAAATTAGAGTGCAAGAACAAAAACGGAAATTATGTCAAATTTAAGTTAAGTTGAAACACAAATAAGCTAGCTGTCATTAGCCCCTTTTACACAGAGATAACGGTAAATGTCCAGAAAATTCCCGCAACGACTTTACCGCTAAATTTTAATATGCATTGTTCACACAGGCAAGGACGTTCTGTATTTTTTCTAAAAAAGACCATTCACACATGCATTCCAAAATACCGGTAACCAGAAATGGCCTTTAATGGCTGTGCTTGTGTTTTTAAACATAATAAGGGTCAGGCATTTGTTGATAGGTTAACTTTTATTTAAAGCTTTAGCATTCAGCTGTTTTTGTCCCAGAGACATCCAAAGGTAGAATCGCTAACCGCAGCTAAATGTTTGCACATTTGACTACATTACATTCTCTGTGAATGGATAAGTATTGTGAACAATTTCTATGTAAACAAATGGAGGAATGCTTTTGCAGGTCGAGATGTACATTTGTTTGTAGGCTAGCATTTAAAAGAGCACTCCTTCACGTGCACGAGTGCTACACAGCTAAACGCAGTGATTGCAGGTAAACTTTGGCATTAATAATGAACATAGAAACGTCATCTGAGTAACAACTAGCAGCTAAATATGTCTGTAAAAATAATCTAAGGCTTTTATTTTAATAATCAGCACAGATGTTGTCAGATGTTTTCTGATTGGCTGGAGTAGACATCCCACGTCAGCATGATCTAATCGTGAACGCGTTCTTTCCAGCAATTGTCCTTCTGCATTCACTCAGCGCTGCATTCCAGCAAATTACCGGTAATGTTACATCTTCTCTTTCTAGAAAATTGCTGGAACAAATTTACTGGTATGTCAAAAAGGCAATTTTTTACACGTGATCTCTTTCCGGATTATTTACAGTAATTTTTCAGAAAGTTCTGTATGTGTAAAAGGGGCTATTTTGTCACATTTATTGCATAGTGCAGTTCCAGTTTCCCTTTGTGGAATAAACTTCATGTGGATATGAAAAGATGTATCCACAGTATGTTCTCGTTTTAGTTGGCTATCATCCTCTTGTTGTGTCCTGGGCTTTAAGACCAGTTCACACTTGCTCAATAAAAAGTGACAGATGGCAACAGATACCTTGTCAGATTTTGACAGATCCGTATGTTACTCCTGTCATTGATTATTGGAGCTCAATTGAACCTGCTCATTTGTGCTTGTCATTCCATACAAGGTCAGAGAGGAGACGTGTTGTTATCTGGTGATTTCCTGCTTTTATTGGCATCTGTATGTGTGGTGGAAATAAATGGCCTCTGAACCCGTTGTAAGCTGAGTTGCTTATAATGGGTGTGTTTAGTCCAGCACACATCAGTGTTTTGCATGCTGTGTACATTCAAAATAAGCAACATAAACGCTGACTGATTCGATAAAAAATTGATAATTCAGTTCAAGTTTTTTTGTATAGCATTTTTCACCAAAAAAAGTATTCTTTCAATGCAGCTTTATAAAAGGTGCACATCATTGCATAACAATGAAATTAGTAAAAGTTAAGGTTATTAGTTACCATAACTTAATTAGTTACTAATATCTTTAACTAATTAACTAGTGACTAATAGCTTTAGCAGTTAGAATTATTATATATAAACACAATTAACCTGCAGATATATTGTATATATATAGTCAGGTCCATAAATATTGGGACATCGACACAATTCTATACGATACATTTCTAGCTCTATACACCAACACAATAGATTTGGTATGAAACTGAAGACTTTTAGCTTTGATTTGATGGTATTTACATCCAAATCAGGTGAACGGTGTAGAAATTACAACATTTTGCATATGTGCCTCCCATTTGTTAAGGAACCGAAAGAATTGACAGAATAATAATCATAAATCAAATATTTTTACTTTGTAATACTTGGTTGCAAATCCTTTGCAGTCAGCTACAGCCTGAAGTCTGGACCGCATAGACAAAACCAGACGCTGAGTTTCATTCCTGGGCCTCTACTGCAACTGTCTTCCAATACTGCTTGTTCTTGGGACATTTTCTATTCAGTTTTGTTTTCAGCAAGTGAAAACCATGCTCAATCAGATTCAGGTCAGGTGATTGACTTGGCCATTACATAACATTCCACTTCTTTCCCTTCAACAACCTTTTTGGTTGCTTTTGCAGTATGCTTTGGTCATTGTCCATCTGCACTGTGAAGCGCCATCCAATGAGTTCTGAAACATTTGGCTTAATATAAGCTGATAATATTGCCCAAAACACTTCATAATTCATCCTGCTACTTTTTTTTCAGCAGTCACATCATCAATAAATTCAAGAGAACCCATTCCATTGGCAGCCAAAAAAACATAAAACGTGTATCTTTTCTTTCACTACTGTGAAACAAAACAAGAAATAAAGAGGGAAATAGACCAAAATCTGAATATTTACCAGTGATTGTAAACAGTGGATTTGCCTTTAGGGTTTTGCTTAAATGAATTTGACTTGGTGGATCAAAGTAGCACAACAGCACATTAGGAATAATTTTGCTACCATCATATTACCTAAAAAGCTCAAAGAGAATTTGTTAGAGTCTCCTCGTCTGATGTAGTGGAGTTCCATCTTCGTTGTTTTCCATTATGCTTTTCAAGTTTTGGATCCGAAGTTGCATGCGCCACCACGCACACGCATCAGCTTTCCCCCTCTGATGGAAAGGAACCCACCCCAGTGCCCTCTTCAACCTGCCATCTGTCCAATCGGACCATTGGCAGTAATTCAGAGATAAAATCATGTTCAGCAGTTCAGAGAGGCACGTATGCAAACGAAGAGCGGCAGCTGAGATCGACAGCAGTGTCTGCTGCTATCAACCTGCCTGTCTATTGAGGTTGAGGGATTGCATGGCTGATAGCTCTATCAGGCTCACACATCTTCAAAAAACATCTAAATGTGGTGGGAACTGCGGCGCTTCAGCTCTGGGTCTCAGCTCTGTGCATTTACACATGACAACCACATCAAAAAGCATCACTTTTCCTCCCTGCTCTCCTG